TTCTAACCACGCGTCGAAAGTCAGTATCAATTTTCACGCGACGTTGCTCTCAACGCACACTTATGTAACATTGTCGTTTTGCAATAAAATGTATATTCCGTAAGGGTGAAGAGCATCGGGTCCTGTCGATTCAATTAGAAACTTGCTCGACCGATGCGACGTGCTCGTATGTGCCGTTTCTACTCGAGTGCTGGTCGGAGTTGAAATCTCAACCGATCGACTGGCGTGGCTCTTGCGTCATCGTTTCTTTCTTCTGGACGTGACGCGCTACTCCATGAGTAATACCAACGACGTCCAGACTAATTGGTAAGAAATTCGCTCGCAAAGTCGTTTCACGAATTTGAAACAAATGCTAATTATTTGTACCATCCCATCCGTTTTGTTAAGATACACGCGTCCATGAAGTTTGGCAGTAACTTTCCGCGACGCTCCGCGTTCGCGTACACAGAATTTACTCCAGATTTCGCGGGAGGTCGAGGTTTTTCCCTATGCACGATTCCCCGTGTTACATTCGCTTTCGAGAAACTTCTAAATATAGTCACCGGTATGTACAACGTGTTCCACATATGTAATAGCAAGAACGGCTGCTCACAGGCGTGTGCGAGCGCGTAGTACACACATTGGCGCGATCCACAACGAATTGTAACCCGCTCGAGGAATACCCGAGGCGACCGACACCGGTGCTCCAAGGAAATAGCAATAAAAACGTGCAACCAGTTACATTACTTTCTCTTGAGACCTTCGTAAGCTGGCGAGCCGATCGTGGATTTCGAAAACGCCTTTCCTCGAACTTTTCACCACGATTTTCGACCAACGAGCGTATCGCGTCATAGTTGTTTTCGTTATCTACGCGCGTGGAGTCTCGTTGCCTGGACGCAGGCTTTCCTTTGGCTATTTCCGGGAAATTTGCTGCCCGAGCAATCAAAGGGAGAAACAGGGTACGCATAATTCCGATCGTATCGCGCGGCACGTACGGAACGACGCGATTATCCGCGCGTTACGGGGAATATTTATTTACCCGCGGCGCGATAAGGGCGGAAATTTATCTGGGACAAGCGGAAATACGCGGCGGGAATACCGTTAGCGAGGCGAGCGTCCCGCGCGAGACGCCTTCCACCCTGCACACCTGTCGCTCGTCATAGTGTTCGAACGTGTTTCGACGATATAGGACACGGTGATAGGACGTTTCGTTGTTTACGATGGTTTGCGTAATCAAATCGAGTATAAGTATATGTCTGTTCCATGTCAATAGTCTTTTTCAACGATTGGGAGAAGACGAGGTGAGTGTGGGATTTAATTGGTCGACGCGAAAATTGGGAAGACAGAACGGAGAGGAACCAGGAAAGAACTTTCTTTCCAGCGTGTTAAAAGGAGGATTAAACTCTCGCGAATAAAACCCAGGATTAATTAAGGATTTACTAATGACGTGGCTTTTAACGTTTCGCGAGGAACGATACCGCTGATTGTTCACGACGTCATAAATCTGTTTCCTCAAACTCTTAATACCGTCTTGTTTACGACCTCGGTCTCGATACACCTTTCACGATTTCTTTCGTCCGGAGGAGAGAAAATAACTGGATTTAATCGCCATTGCACAGAATTGTCGCGCTAGAAACAAACCACCTTCGTGTCCGTGCTATTTTAAATAATAAAAAGAAGCTTGCTAAAGAATATCCGGCTGCTAAAGTAAGAATTTAAATCATTGGACCAAATCTTTTAACGGGACACCACGTGCGTGAAAAAAGATATGCCTAACGAAGGCCCGCGGTCGTGCAAAAGTCGGTAAACTTTTCCAATAAAATTATTGGCCCCGTTTAATAACATCTTCGGTCCGTGCAAAGTTGTAAAGCTGATAAAGAAGTACGATCCGTTACGGTGGAAGTTCCGATTTCACAGAATCGATGCAGAGAGAAAAAAAACCACGGTAACTTGTTAATTAAGAACGCGTTGCAACGTCTGACAGTGATAAAAAATGGAGGGATTTTTAATAAGAAGCGTGCCAAATTTAATTGAACAGCGCGTTTCGAATTCTGGAGCCACGCGAATTACTCGAAAACAAAATTTATTAACCATTTTGGATTTCAAACGGTGAAATTAACGCTTCTTTTTACGCGTCTGGTGAAATACAGGATAAAATTTGCGACGCGAAGCGCGGGCGTTGGTATTCGAGCGAGAAACATTGGAATCATTCGTATCCATTTGTTTCGACGCGTGATTAATTGAATCGTTCGGCCGAATTCACGGCTGGTTTCGATTCGCGTTAGGCTCGCGTTTCACAATTAACATGTAAATCGAGAATGAGAAACAGCGAACGGAGAAAGGTGGTCGGCATCAATTTCGCGGTTCGATCGCGTTCGGGGCCGCTAAAAAATTGCGAACAATGTCATCGGGGCGGAAGATAAATCCCTCGATGCGCACGAAACGCTCCATCGAAATTTTTATCTGGTTAATTATTGCCAGCTATCGAGTGACGCGATGCTTTCGATGCCGAGCACACATTCCGGCAATCGATTCGTTCCAACTACCACGACAATTCGCCCTCAGAAAATTAATTTCCTGCCCGGGTTCTTTTCGCGTGCGCTTAATAAACGTGTACACCTTGTTAATTACCGCGGCGGAGCCGAAAGTCACGGTACATTCATTATTGTGTCGAAGTCGCGCCCAAAAGGCCGCAGAAGGCGTTTCGTATTGGCACACTTGCTTTTTGCGTGTCCACCGACTCGCATATCGTGTTTTTGCACCAACGTAATGTAGCGTTATAAGGCGAGCCGAACGACATTTTAAACGGTCCATTACAAAACAGACGTTGAAAAAGTCCCAAAAGTAACTGCTCAAAAGTACAGTAAATATAGTCAGGTGATCGAATCGATTGGCATAATGTTACGGAATATATAACACATATATTTCTCCGTACCATTATCGATTTGCTACCGTGCTCGACCGTTTGCAAATATTTCGGTTTAATTACCTTGTGTCACAACTCTCGATATATAACAAAAATATTGCTTTAATGCAGTTACAAGAATATTTGAGCATCAGTCGTTCGTCTCTTTACGTTGTTCGTGGCATTTCAACGCTTCGTTTGCTTCGTTCGTCATGTTTGGAATGCATTCGTTCCTTTTTGCGGCACTGTCGAACCGTATGTGCTTTTATTTGCAAGCAGAGCCAATAAAAGCACAAGCTTGTGGACGAAAGATATAGGGAAGGTAATGGATGAAACCAGTAAGCTCGACGGGGTTGCAATAAACACCATCAATCTCCTATGGAGTGGTACACTTCCTCTTCCTACGTTTCGCCTTCTTTCACCGCGAGCTACCAAGCCACTACAATTTCCTTTCTTCGGGGAAATTGTTGTGTTATCGAAAGATTGAGCACGCGGCACCGACAGGCTGCAAACGAGACGTTCTGCGTGATCTCGATCGGTCAAATTTTCTTAGGAGTAGGCGATATTTCCGAAACAACCGATTAAATTAAATAAAACGCCCTTGAAAAGGAATTTTGTTTCCTGTCGATACCGTAGTTAATTCCGGAGAAAACAATTATTTACTATTTATGCAAACGCCCTGTATACAAATTTAAATTAATTTTCACATAGTACACTAGTCGTACGATCAGTAGGAATTGTTGAAACTACTTTGGATATGTAGCGTCAAAGTAAATCTCAAAATAAACATAGAAGATAGCATAAATTATAATAGTTGTTAGGCTCACAGGACAGAGGATTAAATGCCCTTTAAAATGAGCGTTTGTACGACCCGATAGCTTTATTAGTTCCAGAGATATCGCAATTTTAATTTCAAGTCGATGCGGTGGCTAGTTTCGGAGATACGAGGGTCCGAAGCGTTTGTTTACGTTCATTGAGATCAATGAACTCGCGCGCGCGACAATAGTAAACAGTGCGTAGTAAATTCTTGGAAATACTACTACTTCCTGGTCACGTGACTGTCTCGACTCACGCGCGACAAGGAGGTACGACGCGACGCGTCAGACGGAGACAGAGATAGTCAAATTAAGAAAAATACCCCTTTACATAAATTACGATATCTCGAAAACGGAAAGTCGGATCGACATAAACCAAAAACCATTTTAAAGGGGAAGCCTTGCCGCTGCTAACAATACCTTAATAATTAATAAAACATTAGTAGTTTCGGAACTGCACGCGTCCAAAGTTTGACTATTTTTAATACGCGTTATTAGACTATCTAAGGCAGTGGAAACTGAAGATTCTCTCCTTTAGCTTTAAAGGTTTAGTTTTAATCGACTACAGAAGCGATCATCTTAGACGAATCTCTAGATAGACGCAACGTACACTGCGCAAAGTTATTGTACGTCTATTTGCAATCCTGGATAGCGTCTCTGGATCAAGGACTAACGGAACGACGTTAAAGTTCATCGAGCATCAGACGTTGGCGAACTTACGCGTACCCGGTTTGTGCAAACGGATGTATGAGTACGCGTTCTTGCGGCAATGTTTCACGAACCCGTTGCGTTGTTCCGAACGGACGGGCATTCCCACGAGCGTATCGTAGGAAAATAATCATTTATCCGCGGCTCGGATCGCTACAGTCGAGTCGGTGTAATTAATCAATGGCGGTGACTCAACGCGTCGCTTCTGCTTTGTTCTTTTCCGTCTCTCGCGCCTAGGCTGCCCGCGAGACTTCTCTCCGGTCTCTTCGAACAACCTCGTTACATAATTACAGTCGGAGAGGAGCGCGTATTTAACAGCATCCTGTCCGGCGACCTCGTATTTTTTCACGTATTATTAAAATAGAGTACTATAAATAATAGGTCGAACAAGGACCAGACGATTGTACGCGCGAACGCTAGACTCACGATGGACGTTGAGGCGCGCGCGAGAAAATAGAATGGAACTAAACCTCGGACGTACGTCGTCGCCGTACACTTTTACGATCGCCTGTTTGAACGTTTGATCAGAGAACCGTGAATTCTTGTCTGAAACGTCGAATAACTTTTATTCCGCAAAGGTTTGGCGACTGGGCATGCTACTGGCAAACGTGGAGAGGGCTTGTCTATTATTAACGGCGATCCACGTTTTACTCGATAAGGGCGTCGTCGCGGAGACCTTCACGCTTGGATACATCACCGGGTCGAAAAGACGTCCAGGGGACTTGGAGTATCAGCGTCCTGGTTACCGGATATCCGGCGCTATATCTCTCGCCGTGGAGGAGGTAAGCGAGCCGCTTTCCCTGGTCGAACGCCCCAGCCTAACCGCAATTAGCACGGAAGTTGGTAATTAAGAGCAATGAAATTTAGGAACTCCCTTCTCGCAATTATCGCGACGCATTCGCGCGACGCTGCGCCCCGGGGAAAAAGTTTCTTCGTGAATATTTAAATTCCATTCCGGATGTAAAATTAACCGTAAATCCCGGTTCTCAGCGAAACGGAACCCTCGTTTCGCTGTTTGCGACGAGAAAATTTGAAATAGCCGCGTATTCGCGTGAACGCGCGCTCTCCTAGAATTGAATTCAATTAATTCTTGGAGGGGAATGTACGTACGATCCCCGGTCTCCCCTAGGTCAACGCGGGTGAACTCGGTCGACGCGGGCACAAGCTCGATTTTCTCGTCGCGGAAACTTATGGCGAGGAGGAGACCAGCATCCTGATGACCGCCGACCTGTGGACCAAGAATATCAGCGGTTACATCGGCCCCCAGGAAACCTGTATTCACGAGGGTAGAATGGCAGCGGCGTTCAACCTCCCCATGATATCTTACGTAAGTAGCCTCCCCTTTTCTGCCTCGATCCCCCCAAAGTGTCAGGCTCGTTTCGAAGATCGAACGTCCGCGATCCGTTCTCGGGGAACGAGCAACGCTCGGAGAAACAGGATTTTTCAAAGAGGATTCGGACCTTGGCGAACCAACAGAAGAGAATCGAAGAGGAGAGTAACGGGTGTTCCATTTACCCCATGCTTTGGCGCGAAAGGCTTTCTCGATTACGTAACTACGGATGCCTTAGCACGCGTAGTCTGATGAAATTCAACCGAGCGGCCCCTTAACGCCACACTATGTGTATGTTCCTATCGACCATATGCTTCTCTGGAAACGCTTCGAGTAACGAGTTGCCCGCGTGCATGCTTTTAGCCAGAAACGACTTTTATCGCGGCACCTCGGGATCGGGACTTGTTAAATTTAACTGGGAGTCGTGGCCGCGCGTCATATAAACCGGCGAGAAAAAAGGTTGCGATCGTAAAATATGTAGCACGCGACGAAAACAGACGTTAAACTCGTATCGAAACCGTTCGCCGCGGTTGTTCCATTGAAATTGAGAACCGTGCACCTATGTAATAGCACGAACGGTCCCTGAACGGTGTTTCGTTCGATCGTTTTTTCGCTTGTTCCGACGTGGTCTGACGGTGCAATGCGAGGTTTAAGCTCTCAGGAGCGCGCCGCGCCGGGCCAACCGAGGAAATAAATTATTCGCCGACCAGCGAGGAATACGAATGTGCGAAGCTGAGGTTACGACACGTTTAACCCATTCAACGCCACCAAGACCGAGCCTCGGACGCTTTATCTACTTTGCAAGTCGCCTCTTTCCGCCATTGGAATCCGGGCAAGAAGAACGCGGACCCTGTTACGTCCTAACGATATAATACGTTTCGCCAACCATTCTTGTTTAAACCCGCTTCGTAACCGTGGACCAGATACCATCTGTGCCCTATCGATAAACAAAGGGGCATCGAATACGATTCCGTTTAAAAAGAAACACATTTCCGTCATCCGATCAACAAATTGAAATGCCTCGCGTTTTACGCGCAACGTTGCTGCTTCACCGTCCATGATATCGCGGCAACTCGACTCGAAGAATGGAATTTGTAGAAAAGGGAGCCACGGTCTACCGTAATTGACGGCAGACAGACCGTGAAAGAAACGAGAGACTATGGGAACTATTTCTGCTCGAAATTCATTAGATTTCTTTTCATCTCGCAACTGTCTCGGAAGAAGCTGCGCCACGGTCGGCCGTGGAATCGAGAAAAAGAAACAATTTATCTTCCCGACGAATTATCCGGATCATTGAATAGCATCCCCTTCGAGGCTGGGCCGTATTATGGAAAAATATAGGAATGTCATTTTACGATCCGTTTAACGCGAGTTACTGCGTTCGAATCGACTCGCCCTCGGTAATAAGCATAACTATTTGTTTGCTGCGTGGCCGGTGAATCAAAGAGGCTATCGTCGTTTCCATCTTTAATTGTCAGCCGGTGGATTGATCTAGGCCGCGTTGTCGGATAGTTCGATCGCGGTTTTCGTTGCTTTCTCGATCGGCTTTCCCAGGGTCCGTTATATCGCTAGTCCAGCTAGCACACGAATCGCGCGCATTACGTGTCCCTCGCTCCCCAGCCTAGTAATAGCCCAACCTAGAAACCGAATGCAAATTTTAAACCGACGCGTGCCGTTTATCTCTACCTGTTGACCGGGGCTCACCTGAATTCTCGCGTCGCAACAATAACGCGTTTAACAAAACAAACGGGTTGCATTACGTTTCTTTTTAGTTCTGCACGCACCACGAGTCCTCCGACAAGAAGGAGTTTCCCACGTTCGCGAGGACCAGACCGCCGGATACGCAGATCTCAAAGTCGGTCGTTTCCGTCTTGATGGCCTTCAACTGGACCAAAGTAAGTAAAAGAGTCGTCAAACCGAAAAATATCATCGCGATGCTCCGAATCGATCTCTCTCCTATTTCAAGAGACTTAAACTCCGGACATCGATGGAACAAAGACGCGCGCTGCTCCGTTCGTTGTCTCACGTTTCCGTCGAAACTTTTAGGTGACGTTCATGTACATGAATTCGACCCTGTTCGAGTTCAACAAGATGTCGACGATCGCCAAGACAATACTGTCGTCGTTCGAGGCGGCAGGTGTGACCGTCAACTTCCTCCGTTGCTGGGAAGAACCTTATCACGTCACTCACATGACCAATCCTTTCCACGAGCACGTCAGCGAGACGTATCGGGAGACGCGAAGTGAGTAACAAACTAAACGAATTTAAGCGCCGTCGGACGGGCGACCAGTTTTCCTCGTCGAAATTCGGTTAACCTCCTTTCTCGATATCGAGACGATCTTGAACCGTACGGCCACTTATCCCGAAAATCACGCTCGGTACGCGATCGAGAAAATAGGCTACCCGCATTTTAATTCACCCGGCAGCGAGCAGCTTGTACCGCGTTCGCGTAACCGATTACCCGCATGTGACGATTGCAGGAATCTCGCGTTGCGAATAGATACGGCCCATAATTTTCCCTCGTTCCTCGGACCATCTATTTCTGTTTATCCGGTTTCTAATAATAGCCCCGATGACCCGCTTTGAACAATTAAGAAACGAGAAGGAAATAAAAAAAATCCGAGAAATATAACCGGCGTGAAAACGTCGCATTTGTTCCAGTTTACGTGATTCTAGGGAATTATTACGAGCACATGGGTCTCTTGATGGCTCTGGACGAAAGGAAGCTCTTGGAAAAAGGTATAAATCCGCTGTAGCCTAATCAGGTACATATATTTAGAGAGCAGTGTCACTAGTCGTAATCTCATACCAGGTGTTCCGCGTTCTAACAAGCAATCTGCCCACATTTTTTTAATTAAAATGATCGTATGCACCGTGAGCCTATTTCCACCGTTATCGAGCATAACTTTCATCGACGTTCTCCGCGTGAAAATCTTTCCGCCGATGCGAACAGTATCTTCAGAGTTTACGTAAAGACTGTACGGTGCAGGAAATGAACAAACATAACGTAAAACGTCTGTCAATTCATTATACGATACACGATAATGTATGTTATTTTTGGCATAACGCGATAACCGATGGAAATAGACTTGTAACGTACACATACTGGAAAAGTTTGTCGGCTATAGTCACCCACGATCAAATTGCAATCGATAGAATGAACAAAGTTTGCCTAAGTTGTAGATGATACGAAAGGTGTCCCAACAGAGAAACAGAACTCGCTTTAAAATCACTTTAAGACAGAAAATTGGACGTTCTGTTACGCTAACAAATAGATCTTAAAAACTGTCGACGATGTTAATAAAGAAATGTACGGTTCCAACGACTGCGTACGTTTCTCGTTGACTTTTGATCCGCGAAGAAAACAAACATTTCGCAAATTGATGCCGCAGGGGAATACTGGGTGGTCGGCGTGGATATCGAGCAGTACGACGAGAAACGACCGGACAAATATTTTCGAGGTTTGTGGCAGAAGAAAACGAACTCGTCCATCCTGAACGCGTATCGCAGCTACTTTAGCGTGGTTGCGTCCGCGCAGATCTACTCGAGAAACTTTACACGACTGGTGAACGCGTACAGGCAGAAGCCGCCCTTCAACTTCACCAACCCTCTCGCGAACGTCGGTGGAATCGTTCAGGTGACTATCACAATCGCTTACGATCGACATCCCCGTTATCGCGATAAAAATATAACCGCGAGAGGCTAACGATTCCGAGAATAAATCGCACGATTTCTATGCTGCCTTCGAATTCCACAATTTCGAGAATAAAGTTACCCAGTCAAATCCCATGCGATCAAAATTCCAATTCACCGGCTCCCGGCAAGGAAACCACGCATCCAATTTCCACCCGGCTCGAGGAACTTTCAAAGAAAAACTTATCGCCGGTCCAATCTTTCCACGGGCGGAATTTCGAATCGATAGGAATTAGGGTAGGGGAAAATGTTATTTTTCACACTCTGGCTCTTTGTATTAGCGCCGACGTTGATTCTATTCGGAGTTCATCGATGTATTTGGATTTAGAACCTGAAAAGTTTCGAGGGTTTCGTGGGTATTCAATGTTTAAACGTAATCGTTATTTGTTGTGTTATAAGGCAGATCGTGCCAGAGACGGCGTATCTATACGACGCGGTGCACCTCTACGAGAGATCGTTGCTAAAAGCGTTGGACGAGGGTCGGGATCCACGGAACGGCAGAGAAATGCTAGCTACGCTTTACGGCGTTCATTATCGCAGCGCTATGGGGTACGTATTTGCAAGATCGATCCGGGGATCGTCGTCGCCGCGTTTTACGACATGCAAATCGCCGTCGCGAGACGATCCCGGTGTTAAAAAGACGCCGGAAACGAACGACTACGGGCCTCATCGATGTATTTTCGGCTGAGTAATTACCGTTTGCGTACCGGAACGGGGTCAACGTGGACGGGAAGCACGGTAATCCGTCATCCCCGCGTTTTCCAACGGAACCGTCGCGACTCGGTGATTAATAGGAGCCACAGATGTAACGCGTACAAGAAAAAGAGTCGGAATCCGACTCCCGGATCTTCCGCTTACCAACGACTGGCTGTTTCCATTTAGCCATCCATCCCCGTTCGATCCTTTTTCCACGTAAACTTCGTTACAGACGACAGTCCCTGGATTACATATACGCATCGAAGCAACGCAACAAGTGGAGGCCGAGAAACTCGTCCGTGCTCGGAGAAGAATTAATTTCACTTAGCCGCGATTACAGCGTACCGGATTGGTTATTGGCTCGAGGAAATTCCTTCTGCAACGCGATTGGTTATTATTTTTCCGGAGGAGAGGTCGATATACATATAGTTATCGGAACGAAGGGGGCGTGGACAATGTTACTGTAATCGGCGAATCTTGGCGGGACAATGAACTCGCGACAATATTTATTTATTTTTTTAGAAACGCCTCGATAATATTGTCAGAAAATAACCGTTGGGTAGTTTTATTGCAAATAATTGGACTAGAATTTAGCTAGATTGGCCAGAGAAATGTTAAGACCGTAGAAAATGAGTGACGCAAATAAAGCAAGGGTGATCGTTATCCCGATGACGCAAGCGTCTAGAATTATAATTGACCTTACAAATTAATTAAGGCATTCGCGTTGCGGGGTCTGATATCTACGTTCTCGGATTCCGATGGATCCGCGACTCCTACGCGATCTTTTTTTCCCGGGACGATCGATAGATCCTGTTAACGTTGCACCTTTCTCGCCCCAATGTCATCGGGAGTCGGTTACATAATGGTCGTTGTCGTCTTCTGCACGGAACAATTATCTGTACCGCAGACACACGGTGAACCACCGGGAAGGATGAAACGGAAAACGATAAAAATCCCCGTAAAATAATAGCGCGCGCGTTCCATCGTGCAATTTACGAGGACTTTAATGCTCGCGTCGCAGCGTTCGACTGTCACACGGTACCGTTTTCTCTTCAGATACATGGTATACATGGATGAAAACGGGGATGCGGAAGGTAATTACACTCTGATTGCGTTGGACAATCGACCGACTAAAGGACACGGTTTATATCCTATAGCGTACTTCGTGGGGAAAGAGAATGGCACCAATCTGCCCGTAAGACATCGCTTATCGAACGATCCTTTTCGATCCTCGACTTTTATTTTCAATTCCTCGCCTATCGTTCTCGCTTTCAGAAACTCCGACTGACGAGAGAAATTTCTTGGATCGGAGACGGACCACCGATCGCCGAGCCTTATTGCGGATACCACGGTGAAAAATGCAACTGTACGTACCAAACATTGTTGACGTTGTCACGATCCACTCGTTGGATGCACGTAATTATATCTCGCCTTTGCCAAAAATTCCTGAAAATGCAAACGGACAGGGATAGTTCTCCATCGAATTAGCATTCGTCAGCTTTCTCTCGGACCATTAAGGCCGCGGCACCGCGCGAACCAATCGCACCAAAAATACATCATAAGGTTCGCCGCTCGCTACCAAAAAATTTACATATGTAAATCGCTTAAAGGGGAACGCATTTCGCCCTTCCCGCGGTAACTTTTTCGTTTCCTTTAATTGAGATCGAATACGTATCCCGGCCACGCAACCGCGCGCTATTACCAATTACGCAACGATCGGCTGTCGCGACCGATTTCGGAACATCGAACACGGGGTACAATTAAAAAAGAGAAGGGGACGAAGCAGAACATCTATGACCCAAATCTTTCGACGCCACGATTCGCCTCGCGGAACAATCGAATCGATTGACGAACGAGATCGATCGTGGCCGCGGAAACTCGATGCCGATCCGTTCGATCCGATCTTTCAGCTCACACGGGAGAGATCGTCGGCGGAATAGCCGGCGGGGTTTTGCTGATCATCGCGGCGGTGATCCTGGTGCTTTACAGAAACTGGAGGTACGAACAGGAACTGGATTCTTTGCTCTGGAAGGTGAACTACAGGGACATTCAAATCAAAGAACAGAAAGACGAGTCGATGATGATCAACGAGGCGCCTACCAAATGCATTTCCAAGGTAAACGCTTATTTTAAGGAATTTGTTTACCAACGTTGGCCCTTGAGCGTTGTTTTGCTGGTGTTTTTCGCGTCACTGTAGCTTTTACGGCACGGTGCCTTTGTCTGCTTGCACTTTGCATTATTGACGGTCGGGAGTTACGTAAGGGAAAGTGCAATTTTCCGTGGCGCTGAAATAAAGATGCTTTCGTGCGCAGACAACGACGCAACCCATCGTGAGGACAAGTCAAGTCTCCCTAAGCTCGAACCCCGACGCCGACTTTCGATATTCCATGATTTACACGCAAATAGGCGTCTACAAGGGGCGGATATTCGCCGTGAAGAAGGTCCGGAAGAAATCGATCGAGATCACGCGCGAAATGAAGAAGGAGCTGAAAGTGGTGAGTACCGTGAACACCGAGATCGAGGTCCGTTCGGCGACTAGCAAATTGAAGGATCGTTTCCTCAGATGCGTGACTTACGGCACGACAATTTGAACGCGTTCATCGGCGCGTGCACCGATCCTCCGAACATATGCATCGTCGTCGAATATTGTGCACGAGGCAGTCTAAAGGTAATCCTCCACGCGGACAGTTTATCGTTTGGATAAACCAACATTTTCTGCGATCGAGAGTTGCCCGTAATTTGCTCTCGTTATTTATACAGGACATTTTGGAAAACGAGGACATGAAGCTGGATAATATGTTCATGGCGTCGCTGGTCGGCGACATCATCAGAGTACGTATTGTTCGCACGCTCCTCTTTCATATGGAATACAATTTTTTAGAACCGTAACCCCTTTCGAGGAAAGTTTTTCTCTCGACAAACGTCGTTGAAACTTGCGCGACAAAACGTTTCAAACTTTCCTCCTTACGAACACTCGCGCGCGCTAGACAAATTTCAGCAATATTTTCACGCGCGACAAATCCCGCCGAATCGTCGCCCTTAAACGAATACAACCCTCCGCGTTGACGAGCCTCGCGTCCACGTTCGCTGTTTTTTCCAGGGTATGATCTACCTCCACGAGTCCGTCATAAAGTATCACGGCTCACTGAGTACATCGAACTGTCTGGTAGATTCCCGATGGGTCGTAAAACTGGCGGATTTTGGGCTACACGAGTTCAAAAAGGACGCAGAGTGCGAACCGTGCGACGTCATGAAAAGATATCACGGTACGCGACCGACCACCCAGTTTCGAGCCAACTGATTTTTAGCGATTTATTTATCCGTAAACCAATTGTTGCAGGCTTGTTGTATCGTGCGCCCGAACTGTTACGATCGAACAAAACCCTGGAACCGACGGCACGAGATTACCAAAGAGGAGACGTTTATTCCTTCGGAATCGTCTTGTACGAGCTTCAAGGCCGACACGGTCCCTTTGGATTCACGGACTTGTCAGACTCGGAGATATTGAAAAAAGTAATCGCACGAGAGCCGGAGGTGAAGCCGTTCAGGTATCACGATTCAACTATTCAGGTGTCTCTAACTACGATCCAGCGTTACAAATCGCAAATTGCCTTTCCTTCGATGATCCCAGACCACCGTTGGACCAGCTGGAGAACTGTTTCCACTTTGTGCACGAGTGTCTGAAAGAATGCTGGGCCGAAGATCCCGAGACACGTCCGGACTTCAAGATTATAAGGAACAAGCTCAGGCCGTTGAGGAAGGGCATGTGAGTTGAAATGAATCGACCTAGAAAAGGAGACTTGTACGAATCGAGGTGCACGTTTTCAGGAAGCCCAACATATTCGACAATATGATGGCCATGATGGAGAAGTATGCAAATAATCTGGAAGCCTTGGTGGACGAACGAACGGACCAACTAACGGAGGAAAAGAAAAAGACAGGTTAGCGGTATTGAAACATAAATTAATTCGATTACGTAACACGAAACTTGTTCCTTCAGATGCTTTATTGTACGAAATGCTGCCGCGTTACGTTGCCGAGCAACTGAAACGGGGCCACAAAGTGGAGGCGGAGAACTTTGACTGCGTTACCATTTATTTTAGCGACATCGTCGGGTTCACCGCCATGTCTGCCGAGAGCACTCCGTTGCAGGTAACGTTTCTCCAATTTACAGACGATTCTGCCGAGACGGAGCAACATTTCTCGAATATCGGAATCTTTCGTGCTTAGGTGGTGGACTTGCTGAACGACCTATATACCTGCTTCGACTCGACGATAGAGAATTACGACGTATACAAAGTGGAAACCATCGGGGACGCTTATATGGTGGTGAGCACTCGAGAACCGACTGTAATCGTACAATAAATAAACATTCATAGTGCACGAGAAACTGTTTCTAAACAGGTGAGTGGGTTGCCGATACGAAACGGCATTCAGCACGCGGGAGAAATTGCCAGCATGTCCTTGTGCCTCCTAGACGCTGTTAAGCAATTCACCATTCGACACAGGCCCCTCGATAAGCTGCAGCTGCGAATTGGTATACATTCCGGTGGGTCCGAGGCAAATTCAACAATAGAATATACCGCCTCGATCAGAATTTACACGCTTTTTACCGCCGTTTCAGGCCCCGTCTGCGCTGGCGTCGTGGGCCTAAAAATGCCCCGTTACTGTCTGTTCGGCGACACGGTGAACACCGCCAGTCGCATGGAATCCACGGGATCGCGTGAGTACAGAGGTCTCAGCGACCCTTGCGACATGTCGTCGTCATCGTTCGTTTCCGTTTCAGCGCTGAGAATTCACTGCAGCGGCGAGACGAAGAAACTGCTGGACCAGCTGAACGGATTCAGCGTGGTGGAAAGGGGCCTGGTCTCCATGAAAGGAAAGGGCGAACGTTTGACGTACTGGCTGATCGGCGAAGATCCGATTTTGAGGGAGGAACGGAACATTCAGCGAGAGAACCGACGCAGCGGGTGCACCAAAAGGAAGAGCACCGCGAACAACCCCCTGATACCGCGAAGCTCCCTCAAGAACAAGTCTCTGGTAAGGTCCACGTTCATGAGGTGCTCTAGCGAGTCGCCGAAACGACTGCGGTTCGCCAGCTCCGATCAGCTGGACCAGAACTGCTCGAGGACCAACGGTCAGCTGGAGGCGATAGTCGACAACAGCCCCTGCAAGCCGAAGCTGTCCACCGCGATCAAATCCTCGTGCTCGGAGAGCTGGAAGTCGTCCAGCAACTCTTGCCCCTGCGTGGAGAAGCTGTGCGACCAGGAGACGCGGATCGACGCGAAGAATCTGGCGCTGCAGAGGCTGCGATCCGAGGCGAAGAACGCGCGGAACAACTGGACGGTCGGGAACGAGTGCTATTTCCCGCGACCAGGAACGAAAAGCTTCCGTCTCGGATCGACCGGGTTCGTTCAGACGACCTGCAGATCGGCGCCCAGCAGTCCCAGGCAGAGCACACTGATCCTGAACTGCCAGAAGAGAGCGGCGCAGTCCAACGAGGAGATCGATTGCTGGGACGCCACCGCGCCCCTGATTTACTATCCGGGTGGCCGGTTGGATTAGGGCCGAGTCGTCCGTTCGATTTTCGAAAGGGTTAGGACCGAGGACGACTCGATCCGGACGGAGTAGATCTTCGTTTCTACGGTCCAAGGGCGAAATGAAACCGCGCGTTTTATTTCTAGGATCAATCGGCTCGACAATCACGTTTCATTGCGGCATCCGAGCAACGTCCCACCGAACAATTACAAGCAGTTGGTCAATTAACGAACCAATAACTAGCCGGTGACCAGCGTCATGTATGCATTAATATGATTTTTTTTTTCACGATGTACCAAAGCAGGCCGTACGTACAAAACAAAGATACCTAACAGATGTATTTATACATTATTTATAGCATATGTAACCCGTGTACGGTAACCAGCGCGCCGTAACGGTATATTCCATGCATTAGCTTAGACAATCAAGAAGGCTCGTGCTTTTTATTCTACGTAAGTGTCTCTAGTCAATTTATTTCTAATTTAACTCGCCGGCCAGACGAATTCGAGGCTGTTCGCGATCAAACGCGGTTCCCTGTGTTCGTCGCTGGAAACACGGAAAAACCTTGATCGTCTATCGAACGTCCCACTGGTCTAGAATTCACGGCATTACTTAGTCTCGGTACGCGCCAATTAAGCCGATCATTTATAGAGTAATATATCAACACTAACGATTAGAAGCTTCAAATGTACTTATCAAATTTTTCGACGACATGTATGTATCATTTAAACGGTCGATCCGTCGTGCTTCGACGATGTTTAAATTTACTACCGAACTTGAAATAAAGACGTCATTAATCCAAAGAAACGCAGGATTCGGGATTGCATATTGTATCGAGCCATCCTGAAAGTGTTTGCTCGACCGCGTTGACAATTAATATTTTATCATTTCCCTTGGAGCAATCCGAAGATAATTTGGCGGTACTGAGGGATCTCGTTGGCGCACGCGAGTGCAATGGCACCGAGTCACGCTCGGAGTAAGTATACACGAGCGCGATGCGTGATGGAACGGCGACGATAACGCACCGAGATCCATTAAATTCTTAATATCCAAGAAATTAATTGAACACAAGCTGGGAAAGGCGGCGATTGCACGCGTCGCGCCTCTGTGTCTATTCTCGGTTTCATCTGCCACGCACGGTCGAATGCCGCGGCGTGAGATGCTCGTGAATAATTGGAAAAAATCGATCTGAACGACACGGTGCCTATTTTTTAATTTTTTTAATCTTTCGGCGAATAAAAAAAATTTCATATCGTTCTGAAAAAATTATTTTTAGCTGCGGGGGTCGACTACGATCATTTTTGGTGAATAGACATACCCCCAAATTCCTACTCACTTTCGAGAAAAAAATTCCTTATCGAAAATCTAACCTGAGGTCAGAAATACTTCCCCGAAATTCCATGTGTATCTTTAAAACGTCATAACTTCTGAACGGATTGGACGATTTTAATGTTTAAAAACGCAAACGACGCGTATTTTAGTGTAGAATATGTAGAAATTCTAAAAATAATCGAAAAGTTGTTCCTTGACCCCGTAAAATTAGGAAAACCCCATAAAACAGATCCAATTTTCAAACAGCCATAACTCCTACAATAGTGAATATATTTCAATGAAATTTTTTTCTGAAGTAGAGCCCACGGGTACCTACAAAAAAGTATTAGATAACTTTTCTGTGAGGTGTCAAACAAAAGTACTAAAAATCAAAAACGAATTCTTAAGAAAAATCGACGGGGGGTAGGTGCTGAAATTTTTCGGCGAAAAACAAAAATTTCAAATCGTTCTGAAAAAATTATTTCCAACTAGGGGGGTCAATTATAATCATTTTTGGTGAATAGACATAATCTCGAAATCCTGCTCAGTTTCGAGAAAAAAATTCAGAAAGATGGGCAAATTTGTCGACAAAATTAAAAAATTTCAAATCGTTCTGGAAAAATTATATTCAGTCGCGGATGTCAATTGCAATCATTTTTGGTGAATACACATACTCCCGAAATCTTACGCATTTTAGAGAAAAAAATTTTTTTTTGCCGAAAATGTAGTGTGTGGCCAGAAACCAAAAACCTAACCCCATAAAAATGGAAATAAACCGTCGGTCGATTAAAAATTCGCCGTACGAGAAAACCGAAGGAACGTTGAGCGATTCGAGGACGACGACGATCGGCAAAGACGTAGGTTTGGTTGCAGAGTTTCAGGGATATTGAGCGCACGCAACTCGCGCGCTGAGCTATGGTATTTTTGAACGATATCGAAATAAAAGTGTCGAGTACGTTTTGATTTCCATCGCGAATTGGCGTTAGAAAGTCCCATTCGAGCGTTGAAAAAGGGAACGTTGTAATATGCATTGCTATCGGCATTCCTTTCCTTTTTTAATATGGCTGGTACTGTTACGTTTATTTATAATTGACCGTCGTTGCGATCGAGAGGCACGATCGATCGCGAAAACCATAACTAAATCCGTTAGTGGCTCGTCAGATAACTAAACTCTTCGTTACTTTAATTTGCACACGTCTTGTTACGTGCGTCTCCGTGGCACGTGATCGCGGTACGCTCCACGCTCCAGTGCGAAAGAGTCGTGCAAATACGAGAATGGCTACTGAATTTATTGCGCAATTTACTATTCGGAGTCCTTTGCAAACTCGCCGTAGCAAACGGATATTGAAATCGCGGAGAAAATCATCGACGCGCGCGTAAAAATTCCACAACGAGATATCTCTTTAAATCCATATACACCGCTGACCAATATTATAGGCACGGTTCGTTCCCGAGCCGCTTATTTTCACGCTTGGAGCCATTGTTTCTCCATTTTACAGAATTACGTAACGTAAAAAGAATCTGTCTACAACATGTTGCCATCATAAAACCTAATCGTAAATATACCGCCGTTGCAGGAATACGACACGTACGACGTTCCCGTTAATTTTATCCAGAAATCGTCGTATAATGTTCTCGTGGTCGAAGCTGAATATAAACTTCGAAAATGGAAAGTAGCAGCGAGCGCTCGAATTGCGATTAGCTTCGAAATTCTTCTCCCGTGACTGCTCGCCTCGCCACAAGCTTTGAAAAACTGGGAAAAATTATCGAGGAAGAATTTGAAGAACTCGATGCTATTTTTGCGTCTATCGAAAGAGGAAATTACGAGAAAAGCAAGAACGGTGCGCAAGCTTTTCCAAGGTCGCGAGGTCGGACGAACGTGAAGACGAGAGGCGAGTTGAGCGAGCGGCGTAGAAATCGAACACCCTGTATAACGAGGCGACTTATACAGAGAATGGGGTACCATCTTATTTACGGTGAAGTGGTTGTCGGCCAACTTAGAGGAGCGGCCATCATTCAATCAAGCCGGACAATTTAAACAGCCTGATTCACGCAGCGAAATCATTTAATATTTGACGTCAAGCACGATTATCGTATAACGGTGCGTAATGGCTGATTGTTTATACAGGTTGCAAGCGGCGCCGCAATTTTCAAATGGTGTATCTGCCTCCTGAGAACGATGTTGTTGAACGTCGGTCGGAGCAATGTTGCAAAATGATCCGTCATTAGCGGCAGTCGCAGACGCACGTGACGCATACGATTACACTTTAACGACTCGGTGTACCGACGATCCGAACGAGACGTAATAACAAGAACATTTCGAGCTTGGACTTTCTCTTTCGACTTTTTTTTCTTTACGCGCGTTTTTTCGTAATTCGCGCCGGACCCTTCGTTTAGTCGGTAATAATACCGGCATGTTGGCGCGATCGTTTAATATTAATCGAGTCGGTGACGTCGTATTATTTCGACTTGACGCTCGAACGCGTACATACGTATACCCGTAAGTACGTGTCTCTACGGAGCGAACTTTTATTGGATTCTCCTTCTGCCGACCACGTTGTCTATTTATAGACGCGGAATTATCTTCATCCGTCGGTAGAACAATAACGTGTACAGAGCGGTAAAAATTTCGATACGGGAATGCTAATCTGGCCGAGTGATCGTCGTCGCACGGACGAAAAGGAGCGGCCCCGATCGCCGCGCCGGTCTAAATTGCACATCGTTCGCGTACAATACGAGAAAAGAGTGTAACGATCGCGATAACGTCCGTCTCGGTGGCACCGGGATTCGCGTAAGGTGAAAATTTCCCACCCGTTGTGATTTCTCCTTCGTCGTCGCGTCTTGCCATAACCCTCGCACCTGCGACTCTTGTCCACGCGCACTCGGTTACTTTACATAAGATATGCGCGAGCTTAGACCGAGCTGAAAATAAACTCGTCGCGATTCGACACGTTCGATCGTGACGCTCGGTCTCGTTGTCATTTAGCCTGATTTCCATCGACACGATTCGCAGCTCGGCCGACGAGCGGACTCGCGAGTACCCTGACTTCGGGCTGCTCGAGTACTCGAGAAAAACAGGCAGACTCTCTTCTGCTCACTGTCGACAAAATACTGAGATTACGATTCGCTCGATATAGGTGTAAAGTAACTGAATATGTACAGCGATTCAAGTACGATCCGGACCCGAGGCCTCTGATCAAAAGGCCAGAAGACAAAAAAACTTTGCTTTTATCTCGCTGGCTCGTTCGACAGTGTTTACATTAGGGAAGAGAATGCGAAACGGTAAGAGGGAGGGAGAAACGATCGAAGCAAGTGGAAGGCAGGGAGAACGAAGAGGATACAATTAACGTTTGATCGTGGAGCGCGTTCGTACCAACAAACACACGTCGCTCGTGTTTTGTACATAATAACAGTCCGACAACAATCGCGATCGGCTGCAATATCTTTTTGCAGAAAGTAACTCGTACTTACCTGACATCGTTCGTACTACGATTATGCGATTAACAGTACACTCTTGTTGCACGTATCGGTGCAAACACCGAGAAGATTCTCGCATCGATAATGTAAGTACTTGTAATCGAGTGCTTGTTCTAACATATGTACGATTTCATCAATAGACTATTTTCGATAAGGTATCGAGTGAGGCATCGTTGATTAAATTCCAAGGAACGTTATCGAAGTGCGACGATTTTGTTATTCTCGAGATACAGGGCAAA